GTAGACGGGTGGCGGCGATGATCCGGTCAGCCAGGCCGGTATTGGGGACGGCGACGGCGGGAAGCGCACTTGCTGGATCCGTACGCCTCCCTGCGTGGATGACCCGGGCCCCGCGCTAGGCGGTGGCGGGGCCGGCAGCTGCGGCGGCACGGACTCGGGTGGCGTGGACGACGCAGCAAGGGGCGGGGCCGGCCACTGTGGCCATGGAGGCGTGGCAGCGGGCGGCGGCGGGGTCGGCAGCTACCCGGACTCGGGAGGCGTCAGAGGCGCGGCGATCGCCGGGGCCGGCCACTGCGGCTAGTAGGGGGAGACGGCGGGCGGCGGCTGACTGGGCCAGTGGTGGTGTAGAGGCCCGATCGGCGCCGTGGTGGCCGCGTACCAAGGCAGGGCGGCTGGCCCAGTCGCGGCGGCCGGCGGCAAGGGCGGCGGCTGCCCGTAAGGCCCGGCCATGTAGAGGCGGATGCCCTGGACGGCGGTGACGAGGTCATTAAGGACCCCGGTGATCTCTGTCGGGGAGTAGACGGCGACAGGTGGCGCGGTGACGGGCGGCGAGTGGCCGATGGAGGCCCCCGCGGAGGAGCCGAGCGGCGCGGTGGGAAGCGCCAGCGGCACGGTGGAGTTGTCGACCACGGCGGCGGGAAACACCAGCGGCGCCGTGGAGAGGACGGCGGTGGTGGACAACGGCAAGGTGGGCAGCAGCGGGGTGGATGGTGGCGCAGACATGATCGGACCCAAGCTACCTGATACCAAGGTGTTAGGAGTTATGGTTTTGCTGGTTCTAGGGCGGAGATTGTAGGGGAAAGATGGAGGAGGACGAGGACGAGGGTGCGGCGGCCGGCGGCTGGCGCCGTCCTTGCGTGGTGGAGAAGAGGCGGCGGCGGCGCAAGAGGCGGCTAGGGTTAGCTCTCCCGGCTCCCTAAGGGAAGCCGAGCAAATAATAATTGCTTCTTGCTTGATTAGATTGATACATCTTCTTTCCTTATATAAAGAGGTTTACTTGACTCCTAAGCAAACGATAAGATAATTGGGCTAAGCCCCTAATAACGATAAGATAACTTGGGCCACAACCCACTGGGCTAAGCCCCTAATATGACAGGTCATAACATAGATGCAGCCAAGGAATTCCTTGCGAACAAATACAAGGATTTTTATGAGTTAGTGGTCCACATTGGATGAAGCCATGTTTTATTTCGTTTTCTGAGAAAACTGCAGAAATTGATGTCACAAAATCATGTATTCAGTGTACTCATGATATAGTTGGTCTCATTTCAGGTTTAAAAGCGAGCTGATGAACATTTCTCTTGCTGGGATAAAAGCCATATTTTCAAGTACTGACGTACAAGTGGAAACTGAAGATGACATATATTACTTCATGCTTGACTGGGCCCGTGCACGATACGTAGAATTGGAGGAAAGACGTAAGATCTTGAGTTCTCGCTTACTTCCTCTGGTACGCTTCAGTCATATGACGTGTGTGACACTTCAGGAGATATTAGCAAGCACTGATAATGATATAGATCGCGAGCAAGTAACTCATCGTATTGCTGAGGCACTTCTACCCAAGGCTTACCCAAAGCAGATGGAAGGTGCTCTTGCAGCAGAGGTAACAACCTGTTCGCGATTTGCTGAGCGAGCGTACGAGTACAAACCTGTGAAATTGATTGCGTTTGATCAACCCTGCCCACAGATTATAGTTTACTTGGATCTAACACGCGAGGAGTGCTCTAAACTCTTCCCGTCTGGGCGTATATGCCCGCACCCATTCCGGCTTCTAGGATGGGGCTTTTATCTGATGGCAACCTGTGAAATGGATGAGCAGAGTAAGTTGTGCAGCTTTGGCCTCTGGTTAGGGGTCGCCAAAAATATGAAGGGATCGTCATGTTTCGAGGTAGATTACGAGTTTGCTGCAAGGAAAAGATCGTCAGGGCAGTTTGTGCGCAAGTTGGAGGGTAAGATCTCCATCGCTGATGAGACACATGGATGCAGTGATCTATTTGGGATTCCATGGTCGACGTTCATTGCCAACGACAACCTCTTCATCAACGGCGTGCTACATCTGAGAGCTGATTTGAGGGTGTTGCTGGGGCAGCCAAAACTGCAAGCTTGATGATATCTCACTCGGCAGCAAAGTCAGGTCCATCGGTTCAACTTCAATGGGATTTTAGCTGTAGGCTAGGCGTGTTGGCTGCGTGGACATTTTCATTATTTTAGGGTCTCATTTCATTATTTTGGTGTCTGTGCTGGAAACTTGGCTTGCCTGAATGATGTCAGGAGGCTCTTCATTACCTGCAATGAGAAAGTTGAAAACTGTGACGACATATATATAGGCGCATTTTATATGATTTATATTTTTCTCTGCAAAACGTGACTGTCCATCATCATTGTTCTGGATTCACCACAGCCATCTTCGCTGCATATGTGGGTGTTCTTTTTTGCTGTTGTAAACTGGATTCCCCATTAGCGGCTCGTTTATGACAATGAGGTGCCTCGGTTTCGACCATGAAGCCGACAACCTGCTTCCTGGGATTATTGTGCAGCGATGTTTCTGTATGTGCCGATGAATGAAGATGTGCCTGATTCAAACTCAAACGGTGATAGACAAGCAATTGTCTGGATAAGTTGTCGACTGATAAGTCTGGGACACTAACTGCACTTCCCATTTTCAAATCCGTGAAAGTTTTTCTATTCATGATCTTTGAAAATAGTGAACAAGTTTTAGCTTCGTGATTTGTTTTCAAACCAGCGAACATTCTTCAAATTCGTGAGCAATTTTTAAATTTTGGAACATTTTGTGAAATATGGGAACATTTTTAAAATATGTGAGCATTTTTCAAATTCATGAACATTTTCTGAACTTCGGAATATTTTTTCAAAGAACACGTTTTGAAATCGAGGAACATTTTTTTGAAATCCAAGAAATAGTTTGAAATTCTGTGAACACTTTTCAAATTCGTTATATTTTTCAAAATTTTGAAATATTATTTCAATCCTGGACATTTTTTCAAAATTGGGATTCATGAACAGTTTTTTAAAGTTAAAAAATAAAAAAATGATAGAAAAAAAGGACCAAAGTCAGGGGTGCCCTGCCCCACATATGGACCAACCCAAAGCGCACGTGGAGGAGGTGGAGGCCGCATGTTTACTCATTACGTACCACCTACTTCATGGAATGGGAGGTCGTATGGTGATGCCATGTTAGAACATCTTCAATAGCTTTCTATATGGACGTCTATACTAGTTTTCCATGACGTGAGCCCAAAACGGGCGTCCAATAGCTCGTGCAAATGGGCGTCCAAACATGTGCATCCTCTAAATCGACCTGGATGATGTGAAGGCGTCGTCCAAAGCTCAACCGCGGCATGATTTCTCCCTCCCGCCAACTCGCTTGCTCTGGAGACGAGGAAGACGCCGCCGCGAGGTTGCCGTCGCACCACACTACACCATCTCGAGTCGAGGTATGCTCTTTTCTCTCGAAGAGAGAGGGATGAGAGGAGAGGGTCCTAACGCTGTGGATCTGGCCGCCGCCGCGTCTGGGTCGAGGGAGGGGGAGCCGCTCGGGGGTTGGGGTTGAGGGAGGGATCACCTTTACTCCCATAGAGTCATAATTGTAGTCTCGTGGACTGTTGTCTCACTCATCATCAACTATCATATTGTGCATTATGATGCAAGCTTTCATGAGATCGCCAATTTCTTTGCGTTTCCAATCTTTAGCTGGTCCTCGAACAATGGCAAAACGGGATTGTAGAACTCCAAATGCTCTCTTCACATCCTTTCTGGCTCCCTCTTGTCTTTTGGCAAAACGTTTCTTCTTTCTGCCTTCTGGAGCTGGTATGGTCTTCACAAATATTGCCCCTTGGTGGATATATACCATCTGCAAGGTAATACCCCATTGTGTAGGGATGACCATTGATGGTATAATTCACTTTTGGAGCTTCACCTTCGGATAGCTTTGCAAACAGAGTTGAACAGTGAAGAACATTTATGTCATTGAGAGACCCTGGTAAATCAAAGAATGCATGCCAAATCCAAAGATCCTTCCAAGCAACTGCCTCCAGAATCATTATGGGCTTATTCACATGACCTTTAAACATGCCATGCCATTTTTAGGGAAAAAATTTCGAGTCCAATGCATGCAATAATCTACACACCCTAATATACCAGGAAAACCTCTTTGCTCCCCTATGTCAAGTAATCTAGCAGTATCTTCTTCATTTGGAGATCTCAGATACTGGTTCCAAAGGCTTCACAAATAGCCATCACAAACTTTTTGCAAGATGCTAGATTAGTAGATTCTCCAGACCGACAATACTCATCTGCGGCATCAGCGGCATATCCATAAGTTAGCAGTTGCATTGCAGTTGTCATGTTTTGTCAGAGGATGCAACCCAAGAGCTCCAGCAGAATTTCTTATTTGCTTCAAATAACTGTCATGCTCAAGTACTCCTTCAGCTATGCGATTAAACATATTATGAGACATTCTATACCTGTGCAGATAAACAAGTATGAGATAGGGAGATGAAAAGTAGGCAGATAGAGAATAATGTAGTAATACTAACCTTCGACAAAAAACTTCTGGGAAAGGTGCGATTTTCTTTGAAGTAGTCGTCCCATAGTAGAACAAATCTTGCATCTCTTCCGCGATACAAATACTGCCGTCCCAACGTGGAACCACCATGGCGTCGAGCATTCACCTCCTCTTCCTCCTCGGGCTTCGCAAATGCTGCAAGAATTAGTTCGTCGTCGTCCGATGAAGATAACGACAACGAATTCATGAGCATATAAAAAACGAATCCTGTTTCACTCATTGTTTCGTAGGAGAGGAGACAGAGGGACTCAGAAGAGAGATGAGAGAAGCACAAGATGCAATGATTTGAGAGAGGTGATAAGGGGTGGTATATATAGGCCTGGAATATAGCCGTTGGAATAGAGCTGTTGAAAAAGTAGCAGTTGGAAATATATCCATTTGAAAGTGTCCTTTAAAAATATAGCCGTTTGAAAAGTAGCTGTTAACACTGCAATAGAGACGTTGAATTATTATTAAAATGATAGTTGAATTGGTAGTTACAAAATAATATTAAAATATAAAAGAGAGAATATAGACGTTCTGCTGCAAAATTGACGTGTATATGAGGAATCTTTTTAGACCATTATCTATATGGATATATAGACATCCAGATATACATATGCGATTGCTAATGGAGATGATCTTAAAGCATCTACTATGATTACCCACAAAGGCCAACATGGGTGGTCTCCCTTTTCGCAGCCTTAAAAAAGTCCCAGCTCGGTCTGGTGTGTTTAGGCGGTGGCGGCGGCGGCGGCAGTCTGGCGTGGCGGCGGGGTTCCGTGGCGCATGCAGGCGAGCAGCTGGGCGGCGGCGCTGCCGTTGGCGGCGGGGCGGCGCGGCGGCGGGATCTGGCGTCACCCGCTCGGCCCAGATCTAGGCCCTTTGGGCCCCATCTGGGCCTGGGCGGGCCGGCAGCGGGGATGGTCTTCGGCGTGGCTTCTGGGAGGCGGAGGAGATGCGACGAGCGCCTGGGTGACGGCGACGACGACGCCGGCCTACTGCATCGTGGCCGGCGGGGCTTAACGGGCCCGCTTCGGGCCTAGCTGGGCCAGGGGTGACCCGGCATGCCCCCCTGCCGCGTCCGGACGGCTACCGCGACGGTGCCGGAGGCACGGGCCTCCCGCACGACGGCGGTGGAGGTGGTTCCCTCCCGCTCGACGTCGGTGTTGCTGCTCCCGTCGTGGTGAGCTTCTCTCCAGTCCTCTTGGCCTCGTGGTGGTGTTCGTAGTGAGGCGGCGTGGGTGGCGGCGGTACTGCGTTGGCGCATGGTGGTGGGCGACGGTTTGGCAGGTCGGTTCCGTCCGGTTGGGCGGTTGGGGTTGGAATGCGGGAGAAATCCCTGCCGGCTTCGGCCCCGACGCGGTGACACTTGTGTGGGTGCCACCATTCCTTCCTGGAGGGTGTCGGTGGTATCCACCCCCCACCTCCCTCCGCGTGCCCGGGGAAACCTGACGACTCGTCCGGGCAGCAGCGTCGTCGGCGTCGCATCCCTTCTTGGAGGTGCTGCTTGGTACGCGGCGGATCGGAGCCTTGGTCTGTGGTGATTTATGTCCGGTGGGCGCCGCGGTGCCAGGTCATCCGCGCTTTGCCACAGCGTTATCTGTACTCGATGTTGGTTGCTTTGGAATACAAAGCGGGGGAAACCCTTTTTCGGTAAAAAAAGTCCCAGCTCCAACAGTAGCCCCTGGTTCTCACCTTGTTTTTTATGCATTATTATGGGATGTTTGATCCGTCAGACAGTCGCTTATCTTTTTATCTTTCATGTTCTCTATCTTTCTTTCTCCATCCTGCCCTTTGTGCTCTTGTCTCCCACTATTTGCCGTAGTTGGTCGATGCATCGAGTGCTATGGCCATGTTGCCTCAGAATGTTGTCCGGTGGTGACACGGCCACATTGTCAGTGGAGCATGTTGGGTGCCTTTGCGCATGGTCGGTGCAGGTTGGAGCACGTAGGCGTGTGATGGAGGATGTTGGTGACAACTGGACATGCAAGGCATGGACGTCTAATGTTCATCCTCGTCATGGACCACACTGGTTGCTCAGGTGGAGGCTCGAGAATATGCAGGGCATCTGACCTCCAGCGGCGAGTGGTGGCCTGGAAGCAGCACCGGCGAGCCCACCCCTCATGCGATGGTTGGTGTCGGACAGAGTGAGGTCCAGGCATGGCCACTCATAGTGTGGGAGGTGTAGGCGGTGACCATGAAAACATAGAATATTTAAAACAATAAACAATTCAGTAATAATGGACGTGTTTGATTCCCTGCTTAGTTTCATGCTCCATCGTATCCACTGTCCTAGATGTGTCTAGCCTGGTTACGCTGATGCAAAAATGAGTTAATATGTGTGTTTGGTTGTAGCATGTTGTGGGACAGGCTAATGTGATATATTATTGGTAGGTTGTATGAGAAACCAGCGAGGTACTTCCCAAAGCACGACGGCAATGGAATTCCATGAGGCCAAGCTCGCACCAATGCGGCTCCCATGTAGGCACCACTCTTGACGACACCGGGTGCACGTCAGCATGCAAGCTCCAGCACCAACA